CTGGGTCAGGGCTTGCCAGGTGTAACGAGTTCCAAACGCGGCCCCTTAGAACAATTGCTATTTACTTGCAGGATTACTCTGCATCAAAACTTTTTTATATAGTTCATTTAGAATCAAAATACGTAGCAATCGAATTTGATTTTTATCATCCCAGAGTTTTTAGTGTAGGCTAATAAACTTTTTAAAAGATTCTTTTTCATTCAGCTTCTGAATCTTTTTTTTTTTTTTTTTGTAGGGGATTGAACTCAGGGTCACTCAATGGCTGAGCCATAGCCACAGCCCTATTTTGTATTTTATTTAGACACAGGGTCTCACTGAGTGGCTTAGCGCCTTGCTTTGGCTGAGGCTGGCTTTGAACTTGGATCCTCCTGCCTCAGCCTCCTGGCTGCTAGGATTACAGGCGTGGACTACTGCACCTGACTTGAATCTGATTATTTTTTAATGGTGATCTTCAGAAAGCCTTGATAAGAGATTCTGAATACTCTACACCTGAGAAATAAATTCTGGAGTAAATTCGAGACAGCTGATTGTGAGTCAATGAGCGATTTGGTGCAGACCCAAACTCAACAATATACTCCCTACGCTGACTTTATTATACCTAATGTAGTAAGAAGAAACAATAGTGCTTACTTATAAAAAATGAATATTATATTTTATATCCTTGTAGCATGCATATCACACACACACTTATATATTCATATACATTATACATCTATCATACCTATTGTATGTGTACATGAGCTTCATTAGCAAATTTGTTTTCAAGTGGAGGACTCTGTTCTGCAAGCAACGTATTAATTTGGATCTCTGCGTGTTTCAGCTTTAAACCCCAGTAGCATTTCTCTGTGAGTTCCTGGGAAAATCTGGAAGAAGGAGAGAGTGTATATAGAAATGGGAGTGAAAATTCAAAGGCTGGCCTTACCTCCCCAGGACCCCAGTCTTCTTCCTCAGAGTCCTATACCTGCAGTCAGGATGCTTCCGTTGAATGGTTGAATGGTTGAATGGTTGAATGGTGAATGGTTGCTGTGGACATGGGTTTTGAAAAGCAAGTCTTGGGGTAAAAAAGCTCTGGAGTAGGAGGGGCTGGAGGGTCTCAGGAAGAAAAGGGAACAGAAGAAATCAGAGGGAAAGCTTAGAGTGTCCTCAGACATTGAAGGATCAAGACTCTAGGCTCTCCTATCAAGCTTTTCCGGGACTCAAGGGGCACACTACTCACTGGTCAGTGACCCAATCTACTAAACTCTTAGTCTCACCCATGTTGTGATGGACCCAAAAGCAGGATGAAGTAAGAGTGAGCTCTTCAAAGACAGTGAATCCCTGAAAGTTTTGTAGGAAAAACTTACTGAATATTTAAATTATAAAATTTCATAATGTTATTATGTCAGTCACCTAGGGCTACCATAACTAAATACTGCACACTGGGTGGCTAAAACAACAGATGTTTATTTCTTCCTGTTCTGGAGAATAAAGTTCAAGATCAAGAAGCCAACTTGATGTCCATGAGGCATCTCTTTCTGGCGTGTAAATGGCCATCTTCTTGCACATCCTCACAGCAAGAAGTAGCCTTTCTTCTGTGTACTATGCAGAGACAGATCTCTGGTGCCTCTTCCTTTCTGATAAGGTCATCAGTTCAGTGGATTAGGGTCCCACCTTTATGAATTCATTTAACTTCAGTTATCTCCATAAAGTCTTATTTCCAAATGTATTCAGTTGGAGTGAGGTTTAGAACTTTAACATATGAATGGGGAAGTTGGGGGAGGGCACAATTCAGCCCTTAACAGTTGTTTAGCAGGTGTTCTGCAGGTTTGCTAGAGAAAGAAACAGGATGTAAAATGATTTGTTTTGCTGGAGAGCAGACTTAGTAAGCATTGCCAACTCATGATATTACCAATTGCTTATGTTTATTCATCGCTTGGTATAGGCCAAGTACAGTTGCAAGGACTTTACATATGTTATCTTAATTAATCCTCCAAACAATTCCAAAGGAAATACTACTATATGTTCATTTTGCAGATAAGGAAACTTAGGCACAGAGAGGTTAAATGACTTACCCAAAGCTAGAAAGTGAGCCAGGATTCAAACCCCAGCCATTTAAGAACTCTAAAATGAGAATAGGGAGAAAGATAGGAAATGTCTTAGAGTTACAAGTTGGCCCTTTGTTTAGGATGCTTATAGAATATATGATTAGTAATAAGCTTGGAATATTCCCTAGTGGAAGCTGGAAAAGTGACCTAATATTAATGTTATATTATTCAGGAGCCCTGCTCTATTTCAGCCCTGCATTATCATAGAGAGAGACAGGACAGTTTTTAAGGAAAAAACAAAACAAAAACCCTCTTCTTTTTAATTGCATCTTCAAGTGCCTCAGAGGTCTGGAAAAGATTTGTCTACTTCTACGGACCTTAATACCTTGACTTCTCTTTCCATTTAGACAAGCAAATAAATAAAAAGCAGTGCATGTGCTGTGTTCTCTCTTCTTGGATAAACTTAACAAAACCAAAATTCTTCCAGTACTCTCCAGAATGTATTTTCCAGAGCCCTTTCCAGAGATTGTCCTTCTTGTGGATTCTGAGGAGATATCAGTCATGTCTTCCTTCTCTGTAAGAGCAAGCAGAAGACCTCACTGACTGGAAGGGAGCCACTGGTGTGTCCCCTAGTGAGCAATTCCTCTTTCAAGACTAAGACCTTCCAATACGCAGAGCTCAAGGTCACCAGAATAGAAAATGAAAATTCCATGAATGAATTATTGGATTTAATCATGAATCAAGCCACTTGCACCCCTTGGTTCCAAGACTCATCTATTCTGGTTATGAGATGCATAATATCATATATTGTTTTCTGTTTCAAAGAATAGACAGTATCTTTTAAGGCAGCACCTCATGATTTCAGGGTGTTGCCTGCCAAGTGACACTCTAACAGAATCTTTCCTAAGCCTTTACACCTTTCCAAAATGTACCAATTGCTTCCATGTGATGTAGCATGTGGTGTAGGACCAATCAATTCTGGGCCATGAGCCCTCTGTACTTCATGGCTTTGAAAGAAGATCCTTTGGGAATCACTAATCAGAAGGGATGCCATGGGGAATTCCATGATGGCGGATAATGTGGTTGGTGAATCCACAGATGACACTACTACAAGAAGCATTATGGGCAGAGAAGCAAACCCATATGCAGAAGGCATCTATTCCAGCCAGCAAGATAAAAGTGGTTTGATATAATCAACCTGCCACCAGGTGGCTTGCTGTTTTCCCAGGTGAATGGGGCCATGTCTATACTGATTTCTTGTTGACACTTGGTAGGCCCTCAGCAGTACTGTTAGCCAGGCCAGCCTTGGTAAGTGGAAGCCCATGTGGTTGCCAATGAACAGCTTGTCTCCCTCCCACCATGGCCATTCTGTTCATGGGTTCACTGAACAAACACTAGGGACTGACCAGCACCCCAGAGTGTGTGCTTCTCCTACCCAGTTACTAAGAACCTCCTCTCCACTGAATGCTCTTTGATCATCATTCACATGAGATGCAAATGTCTTCACAATCTGTGACCATTCTGAGAGGTCCATTTATATCCCTCTTGCCCATATATCCTTGTCACCAATTTTGTCCTGGCCTGTATACTCCTTGATTCCAAGACTCTTATTCTGGCTGTGAGATGGATAACTAAATGTATGCCTTGGAGTTCCACCCAGGGAGAATTTTCCTTCACCAATATTCTTTAGGATCATCCCTGAGTGGGACCTAGTAGAAGACTATGTAATACAGAATGAGCAGTAAAATAGCCTGGAGCTATTTATTTCTTAGCCAATTGGTCTTTTATGATTTGGATTCAGTTTGTATCCCAAGGATACATACACTGGTCCCCGATGGTCCCCTAGTATTAAGAAGTGGTGGAACCTTTAAGAACTGGGCCTTATTGAGAAATAACTAAGCCATTGAAGACATCACTGTTGGAAGGAATATATGCTGGTCTTGTGGACTGAGTTAGTTCTTGTGAGAATGAGTTGTACTAAAAGAGCCAGACTGTTCCCCACCCTTGGTCTCTAGTCTCATCTCACCATGTGATTTTTTTCACCTTTCTCACAGGCTCTTTCCATGATGCCACCTGTTATTAGACCCTCACCAGAGACTGACCGGATAGGGCTGCCCACTTGAACTTTTAGTTTCCAAAACTATAAACTAATTCATCTTCCTCTTTTCTTCATAAAATTCTTAGCCTCTGGTATTTTGTTGTATCAACAGAGAAGGATTTGATCCATTGTCATAAGGAATATCTCCAAAAGACCATTGACCAAAGGAGGGAGAAGGGGCAATGTGCCTTCAGAATCATGGGAAACTAACTTGTACTTTCTGGACCTTCCAAAGCCCAGGCCCTAATATACCATTTCCATTTAATTATGGACCATTGTTTTACTCACAGAGCTTTCTGGCTGGGTATGTCAGGTAAAACCTAGTTCATAATGAAAAGTTCAGTTCACATGTTCCCCCACATGGGTAGGCATTCAATCTCTACCAAGGCTAATGTTAAGAGAGAAGCTATTTTTTTCCAAGGGAAAATAGTCGTGTCCA